TTTGTCATCTGCTTTAATACAAGAGTATAATATTTTTTCTCCGCATTTTCAATCACATTATTTCTGCTTATTCGATTTTGTAAGATGAAATCCAGAATCTAAATAAAAGAATAGAATGAGCAATCATTCCAACAATAACAGCAAGCGTAAAAAAATATGCATTAAATCAAGAATTATTAAATATGTGACTAGTCATAAAAAAAGTCAAAAATATTTCAAAATAAACTTAGATAAAGATAATTGGATATTTCATTTAATCCTGAAGATATCTATTGATTTAATGTTAATGAGATATCCAGAGTTTACCACATGGAGGGCAAGCCTCCATAGCTATTATTTGGGGAGGATACTTTATTTATACAATTTTGTAGTTTTAAACTGTAAATTCGAATTAAGGAATACTTTTAATTGTTTAAGGAAATTTTTGTTCAATATTTGGGGGAGGAGAAAATTTGTTAAATATTTTTGGTAGGAGATATTTCTTTCAGTCAAATTCATAACATAATCATCAATGCCTAATTTTGGAATCACATAAAATAACAAATAAGAGAAGGAAATTTCCAACAAGTAGTTAAGTTTGAAGGGAATAGGAATTTTTTGGGTGATGGATTAGATTTTAAAATAATTTATGGAGGGGATTTTTTTATGTGGGGATTATTCCTTTTCTAGTTCAATTTTTTTTCTACTCAAAATTTATATTATAAGAGATGCATATATAGAACCAACAGATTATTTGGCCGAACTAAAACACAAGTTTTAATAAATTTTTTGGGTGGTATTTTTTAAAATCTTTATTGATGTGACTATTATTTTGTTAATTTTTATTACATCTCTATTATATCCCAAAAAGACGTCAGAGTTCTAAAAAAATCTAAGAATCAAATCTAAGACATTTTTAATCATACGCAAAATCAAAAAGCACCTGAAAAGCATCCCGAAAAAGCACAACAGGAAATAAAGCATCAAGAAAAACCACAGGAAAAAAAACATCATAACACGAAATTAAGACTAAATTAATTAAGTATTATGATTGGAACATTAATGATTTAAAAAAATTTTATTTTTAAAATTAATTGATTTACAAGGGTTAGTTAGAAGTTTATAAAAAGGACTTTTTTGCATTTCATACTTTTTAATACCTTTATTTCACACTATTGTGCATGCGAACTTAAAATATTTTTAACTCCAATTATTATGCTTATCATATTGCGAAATTATAATCTAATCAACTGAAAATAATATTTTTTAAGAAAGAGCTGAACATTAAAATGAAATATTTCATTATTTTTATAAATATTTTTAGCTTCACATAAGAGTAACACACTGAGAAAGTATTGCCAATTGTTACAAGCTATATGATAACATACTATCATAGGGATATAAAGTTAAAAAAACATAAAACTTCAAAAATTCATTTTCCAACACTTTAAATTAATTCTAGTATATAAACTAATTTTTTAAAACATAAGTATCTAGTTACATCGCCTACTAGTTTTAAGCATCTATTCAGAAACGTAGAGAAATGTTGAAACGAAAAAAAAATTTGCAAGAAAAAAAAAATACTTTTATCAAAATCTGCCCGAATCTTTTTAAAAATGTTTTGTTTTTTTAGCATTCATTAACATTCTTCTATCATATTTAAACACAGAGAAAAAAAGTTAGGCCAAATCTACCAATATATGGTACAATTTACCTAATTTTTTAATGATACCTCAGAGTATGTCATAAAACTTGCTATTCGCTTAAATTTACTTTTCAGTATTGTATTTTTGACTAAATGTTTCGTAATAAGAATTATAACTTTGAAAACCAGAATTTCCCATAAACCGTTACCATATGAATGAAAAAAATTAAATCTGTATATATTTTGGTTTTATTAACCAGTGTTATGTTTTTTTTTCACCTGAAATGTATTTACTATACAGAAAGGTAATTTCACCATAGTTTCTCCGTTAAAATTTCAATAAAAATGAACAACTGCATTAGAATTATTTACCATGTGTAGTGCACCAAAAGCAAAATATAGTTTTATATAGTTTTATAAAACCCAAAATTGAAATGGAATAGGTCAAATAGAGAAAAAATTAAAAATTCAACTTTTCTTAAAATTTTCTGATTCTAATCGATTAATCATTGCTCAAATTTTTAACTTTTCATATATAGACATTTAGTTTAAAAATATATCAAAAAGCTTTTTCAAGCGTCTTTAAACAAAATGATAAACAAATAATTATTAAAATTGAGAAATAATTTTTTACATTTAGTTTTCTTTGGTTAAACGAAAACTATAATTGCGTTCAAAACGTTTTTTATTCTCATATGAAATTAGGCAGAATGTGCAAACATTTAAATTATTATTAAGGAACACAAATTCTCTCTCTCCTAGCCTTATTATTGGGATCATATTTCCCAAATGGACGTTACTATCCATATTTAGAGGATCAAGAATCCAAATTCGTCATTTTTAATTAAAAAAAGAACATTTTTGTGACTGATTTTTAGTTACTTAAAAAAATTGTCAGTATCATCAATTGAGTATTTAAAGTTAACTTCTCAAACAGTTTGCAGTAATCCGATCAATAGATCAAAAGCTATTAAGTTGTTCCCTTTTTCATTTTGTACATTGATGTAAGTGAAAAAACATGAATATTGAACATCAATGAACAAAAAATATCTCATGTCAAACTAATTCTTTTCAAAATAAGTATTTATTTTTGTAACATTATCCTTTCATCGTTTGAATAAATGTTTCATTTATTCATACGTTTTTATTGCAATGCATTTTAACCACGAATAGAAAATTAAAATTCCTCCAGTTTAAATTACAAAAAACAATCATGGACTTTTTTCTAATTCAAGGTGAAAGAATTTTCACTATATCTTTGAAAATGGTTTAAATTGTTTTCGAAAAGTCTCGTTTGCCAGTAAAGTTTAATCAAGTACTCAAACATGCTTTCGTTATCGAAAAATAACACTTTTTAAAATCGCGGGCCTTTGCTAGCTAGAAAATTTTCAAATTTAATATGTATGTTAACTAAAATCCAATATTTCTAAGTAATTTTAAATCCAAGGCGTGTTGCTATGGTAACAAAATTAGGCATCATTGCATCTCGTAAAGTAAAAGTAAAACTAATTCCTTCTTTTATAGATGGGCAGCCATCTATTGATTTTTACATCAATTTCGAAGGTTTTTCTTCACATGCGAGAATATTTTCCACAGTTCTTTTTATACATTTAATATAAGCTGTAATTTCTTTTGTGAAAAATATATTGATCCCCATAACATTAAAATTTCTTTCTAATGTTATGGCTAAAGTTAAATCTTATCTAATAAATAAGCACGGATGTTATCATTTAAACAGAAATATTCCTCACATTTCATTTGAACAGAAATAAGTCTGAGTACAATTTTCCTAAATATAATATAATCCTAAAAACTAAAGATATAACTATCAGACCTACAAAATTAATTATTACATTTTTATTACAATTAATTATTACGATATTATTACATTTTCAGTCCTGTTAACAAAATTGAATTTAAGTCTCTTAAAGATTCTATAAATTTTGAAAATCGTTGGGGTATTAATCACATATTTTGCCAGTGCGACCGTTGCTACAGCTAACAAATCAGACGCAAATTTAGACGTGAGGAGCAGGATGAATGCGTCGGTTATCAAGAATACGATAAATCCTCATTTGCTTACACATTCTTAGAATCTTGGGCATAAATTAATTTTAAAAATAAATTTTTTTTTTCCATCCCAGTCCTATCAACTTATCTTGATCCCTGGAATCTTATTTCATTCCCTTGTTAACGACATTAGTTCCTCACCATTTCTCTATAGCGCGTGGAAGTGGATTTTATCCTGATTAACCCCAATAAGCCGAGGTTTCTTTTGTTCCGTTTTTTTTTTCATCTTTATTTCTTTTATCACTTGGCTATTGCTGTTTCTCTAATTTTGTTTCTCACCTTTGCTTTCCATTTTTCGTTGGCAACTTTATATTTTATATTTCAAATAATTTTTGCTTCCTCCTATTCATGTCTGGTATATCTTGAGAATGGATGCCTATTTTTGAGCGCTTGAAATATGTTAACTTTTATTGCAATTCCATCCGCATATTTTTGAAGCCCATAAACGTTTTTAATCAAGTAACACAATCTTTCTAATATAATTATCATCTATTACACGTATATTTATGTACTTTCAGAAGTAATCTTTTATAGTATAATTACTTTATAAGTCCAATAATAATGATCGGTAATCAAAGATTCTATTATATTTGTTATATTTAGCCAATACTGACACTGATATATATATATATATNATATATATATATATATACGCAACAAGAAGATAGATAAATAGTTACTTACATAATTATGATCTTTTAAATCAACTAATACATCATCTCTTTAAATTCAGCAGTTTATTTGATACCTAAAATATCGCTGTATCATAAATTCCCTGTTTTTGCAAGAAAAATGTAAAATAACTATTTCTATGTTGACGTAAATATGTATATATATAATATGTACATGTTTTATACATTGTGGAAACATGCACTTTCATAATCATTTTAATTCAGTACAATTTTTATATTTTGCAACACTTTTATTTAAATGGAAAGTAACGTTCTTTATTTTCAATGAAAATGTCTGAGTGTATGTAAAAAGTATAAGAAAATAAATTTTCAATTTTACCACTCAAACAAAATGTTTTATGTTTCTTCAAAATTCCAATATGTTTAAAGATTAAAAACGAACTAAACGAAAACAATTTTGTTAAATTTGATGAATAGAAATTTATCAAAGTCGCACACTACTTTGTTCATGGAAAATTGTATTTATGAAAAGTTTTAATTAGAATAAAGGATTTTGCTTAAAACTTATAAATTTTTAAACATAAATTAGTGTGCAACAATAAAACGAAATATTTTAAACCTCAATAGAGAAAAGTTTTAAAAGTAAAAGACACAGTAAAAAATTACTCTGAATAGATATTTCAATTCGTAACTTTTTATTAAAAGCCTATTACATTGAAATAAAAAAGTTTACAAATGAAAATTTGATTCTTCATTTTCTTGAGATGAATCTGTTTCTCAAACATCTCGTGAGCAAATTCAGCAGTGAATCTACGATTTTAAAAAAAGTAGTTAATTTTTTTATTGGTTTAACAAAAAAAGTTAACAATGTGTAAACAAAATAATGTGTTTTGTTCATATTGTCATTCATGCATCACAGAGGGGATTTTAAACTCTTTTTTGAAACTTTCATTCAAAAAATTCAAGCATAAAGTTATATTCATACTGCAAAACTGAATAACATTTTTTATTTGAAATTTCCGAAAAGGCAAGTTAAATAAATTATTTGTCGATGTCATTTGCTCACAAGGTTATGAAAAGATTGCCTCAAGATTAGTAAACTTTCCTAATCGTTGTATTAAACATTCACAAAAATAAGTAAGTTTTTTAAACTTATTTTCATGGTTTAAAATTTTTCAATGATAAAGGCTTAAATGATATATTTTAAATTCAAATGTTATTTTTAATAAATTTTTGAATTTTAGAAAAATAAATTCTAGAAATAAATTTATATTTTTTTTTTTACCCGGATATGTTTTTAATTTAAATTCAAATGCGCATTTGTTTGTATGATAAATTGCTCACTGCAGTTAATTTATTTTATATATTTTATAACATACAGCTGCGAAAAAATAAAAGAAAAATTATTTATGGCGACGAGAAAAGAGTAATATTTTCGTAATATAAATTCAAATAAATGTAACTTTTGAATTTTTTCTCTATCAGCTTAAAACCACAAAAACTCTTCAGAAATATAAAATATTTTTTTTTACAATAGCAAAAACAAAGAATAAATGATACATACGGTATATATCTGAACATTAAAATGAAA